TGAAAAAATGTTTATTTTGAATTTTAATAAACTAAACGTTCACCAAAAAAAAAATCGAAAAAACGAACTACAAACATATTAACGCTAAATTATATTTATGTATATATATATATTTTTTTATATCTGTTTACATTCACTCAATATGATGGTATAAGAAACATTGATTGTCTGTGTTTAGAGAAGAAGTTGAGATGAGTGTTACTAAAAGTAGTATTGTTACATTCAGCTCGCTTATATGTACCATCGATTGTCTGTTGGGCATGCGGTGACTGATTTGGATTGGACTTTGTGTTGTTTTTTTTAAATGTTGATTGTAAACGATAGCATCAGTATTTGATGATAGCGCGAGAATTAATTAATTAATTGTTAATATTATTTTTATTTAAACTCGCAAAAACATGAATATGCGTTGACGCGTGTTTCATCTGCGTTTGCACGCACCACGTACCATCAACACATTCGCTTGTACGTACTCTACCGACCATCAGAAACCTCCCGTTGAAATTTTCGTATCGCTTTTCATGTTGCACATCATTCATTCGCATCGCATCACTTGTACAAATGGACGACAAATTTAAATAAAGCTTCAATTGAAAGCTGCCCAATTATTCTTTTCTCTTTCAGTTTATTGAAGGCACTGTACATTTGAATGTAGTTTAGAAAGGAATGTTTGAATCCTTCCTTATTTGTTACTAAAAAATAATAAATAGATAATTTTATCTTTCCTGTTTAAAAAACTCACTCTGGATTAAACTTTATTTATATCGATTTTATAATTTTTATCAAATCGCTTCAAGGAGGGAAACGATGGTCGGTCCTTAAAAATGATGACCGCAATTTTGTTCAGTTTTTTATTTTATTTTGTTTTATATTGTTAGCTATTTTTTCTGCTCTCTGACAAATGCTCATGATGTTTATGATACGTAAGTTGAGGTTTGTTGATCTTCTCGTGATGCTTCTATAATTTGATGAGGAATGTTGAAAACTCCTTCAACTATGTAGGCAAGCACTAAAGATATTAGTAAATGCAGTGCCGAGTAAAATCATATCACACAAAGTGATCTCAAAATTAAAATCAAAGTTTATACTTAATGTAAAATGATTTCAATTCAGATCCTGTTAGTAATTTTTTGCATCATAGTAAACCTACACAAACACACCACACACACTAAAAAGTGTGAGCCATTGTCTCTGAAGTGTTTGAAATATCGTTGCTGAAGAATTTGAGATATTGTGGTAGTAAACTCTGTAAAACCCTGTATAACTTTATAACTCAATAAAACTTTGTTCTACTCTCTAAAACTTTGTAAAACTGACTTTTTAAAACTGTGTAAAAACCCTGTGAAACTCAGTAAACTTAATAAAAACTCTCTAAAGCTCTGTAAAACCCTGTGAAGCTCACCCTGTAAAACTCTCTAAGACTCTATTAAACTCTGTAGAATTCTGTAAAACTCTGTCAAACTATAAGACGGAAATCTCTATAAAACTGTAAATCCCTGCAAAACTCACTCTGTAAAACTTAAAAAACTCTTTGCAACTTAATAAAACTCTGTATAACTCTATAAAATTCTGAAACTCTATAAGGGTTTGCAGAGGTTTGAAGTTTTAGAGAGTTTTACAGTCTCCTACCCTTGAGTCTTACGAACGATTAATTAATTCATTCTTTAAAATTGTAAAGCTGCCAATAAATTTTTAAATAACGGATAATTTTAAAAAATCCTCGCTCAATTCGTTCAATGTGTTTTTTCCTCTTTTGTTCAGGAGACATCATAATTGGAAGATGATGGTGGTTGGCGCGTTGTAGAGTGCCGTTAAAAAGTTTAGTATTTTTTTTTATCTTCATTCGTTCATTCAATTTGTTCAAATCATTCATTTAATTCATTCAAATCGTTCGAAGTGTTTTTTAAATTATTCATCATATGAAAATTATTTATTGCCGGCTTATCCCGCATGATAGTGGTGTCGCATCGCAAGAATCAACTCGTTAAACGCCATTGAAAGATGGTGGTGTCGCTAGTCGGTCCATCGAACTCAACTTTTGTTCGGGTGGCATTGCGTTCGTGAATGATTGAATTAAATCATGGTTTAAAATCGTTTTAATTGATATCTTGCCAGACAATGAGTAAATGTATATATAGATAGAAGGATGGTGGTGGGTGTAGTGACTTACCAACGTTTATCCTGTTTATCAACCTTGAACGAACATTTGTAACACTACGAACGAATCAAACAAAAAATTAATCCCTGCCATTGCATTCTCTCTGTGAATTCCCATCATCCCCTGTGTTGAAGATATGATGTCGAATGCTTTAAGATTCAACCTCTTACAAGTGCAATCCTTACTAAATAAATATAGCACGTCAAATTCCAAAGTATTTTTTATCAGATGCAGCAGCAAAAATGACGTCAGATAAACTTTAACCCTTCAAATGCCACAAAACTTCAAACATTTTCTGACTTGCACACGGAAGCGTGATTTATTTGAGGAAACAGTTTGTACATAACCCTTTTAGGTGAAGTTCAATGCTACAATTCTCACAAGTAACAATCAATGCGATGGCTAATCGTTTAATAAAATATTTGTACGTGCATGGTTGAATCTTAAGTTTCTTCGTGGTTTATAGATATCATGACATATTATTTATAAATATCACTGAATGACTTATTCGTAAATATCATGAATGAATGAATGAATGAATGAATGAATGAATGAATGAATGAATGACTGTTCAGCATTATTACTGTTTGTTGCGGTGTGTCTGTGTTTCTCTATTCGTGTGCTTATAAAAAAATATCCGATCATGCCTATTGTTAATATGAGAAGTATTGTATTATTTGCTCAACTCAATCCAATACAACGTAACAAACAAGCACGGCCAACAAACTCCTCGTACATGTTGTATATCTATATAAATGTTTATGCATGTGCGTTATAACATTATAATACATAAGTGAACATACATGGCACACATGCAAATATATAAGTTGTATATGTGAGCACCTTAGTATTAACATTTACCAACATAAGCCTGCGATCAATTAACGCTACTAGAAGTTAAATTTTTCAAGTTATGAAATAAATGTAAACTACATAATACATTACTATCAAAAATAATATTCGTTTTAAAAAATAATAATTAGTTGATTATTCGATAATTATAACAATTACTAATATATGCATATATATTTGTATAGATAGCAACCCATTTTAGTTTTAAGGTAGATGATTGCATGCAGTAAGCATTGATGCATCAGTTGTTCGCTGGTCTGCCTCTGAAATTATATATTTATTATTACTTATTTAAATTATAACTTATCAAAATTTATAACCAAATTATTTATTGGAGCAAATTGTTCGAAACAAATTTTACCTTTCAGTAGTTTTTAGCTTCCATTTTCCATACTGAGTAATAATTTATTTATAATTGGGAGCGAAATAATTGATAAGAGTTGAGGATGATGTTGCGCCTGCTATGCTTGCTTGGATGTTGCTGCTTGGTCAGCGTGGCCGGTTAGTTGTCAGGAAAACTAGTTTTTTATCATCATTCTAGTATTTGTTTTATTTGATAATATCTAACGATTATTTACTCTTTCATTTAACTAGCTTAAAAAAAACTTTCTGTAATATTAAATGATTTTTATGGACAAAATTAAATTTATAATGTAACCTCTCTTTAGATGATCGCTTCTAATAAATAAAATTTAACGATTTTTAATTGTATCACCAAGCATTAGCTGTTACATGTAGTGACATTCTGGTGCAGCTGCAAACCTATTACAAGCAGCAGAGTAGTTGACAGTAGCCAAAAATGGTCTTACCAATACCAGTACTACCGGCTTTGAAATGTTTTCTCGGCACAAATAACAAAATTCATTTCTAAAAGTTTTGCCGGAAATACTAACCAAGATCTTGCATATTTTAATCTGTGCTACATAAAAGTGAAACTATTGTTTTACCCATAAAAACGCATAAAAGTTGAAAAAATGGTCAATTAAAAAGCTAAACAGGTTTGGAAGTAGTTTTAGCGACTACTGAATAGAGGAAGAACGAAGAACCTTTCAAGATAGAAGAGACCAGCGGTGACAAAGAAGTTTTTAAAAACATACCCGCTTGACGTTCAACAGCTTGGTATCGACTATCGATTTATTCTGTCAAAAAAGTAATAAGTATCGCCGACACCAAAGCCAACACTTAAAATGCTTTGCTAGCAATATTTTGATATTAACAACTCTACAAAGCATTATTTCTGATGGAAACAATTCCCGTTTAGACGGTGTTAGTGCATTGAATTTGGGGATGGATATATGATTGAATTAGCGCGCGCGTCTGTTTCGGTAACTGAGAGCCTACAAGTTTTATTTCATTGCACGACTCAAATCGATAGCAGTGAACGTGATGCTGCATGATATGATGCAGTTATGCGCCACAGTGTTAAGAGGAAGTAACCAAGAGACGGAAATAATGATTTATCCTTCTATGGCGACGAAACATTGGAAGTTTGAAGAGGTTTTCAGGAATTTTTTTTAGAGAACGAACGAAGCCGTTGTGTTGAAAAACGAAACAAACAAGCAAACAAAAAAACAAACGAACAAACAAACGAACGAACGAATGGGTGAGACTAATATGAAGAGATTGTTGAAATGATTTCACAGCGTTTTCTTCCCCCGATTTTTTCAACTTGCAAAGAACGAACGTGAAAATAATATTGCTAAAATGCTAAAATCAAAAAATTATTATTGAAGATTTCCCGAAACATAACTCTATTTCTTGATTATCTCTCTCTCTCTCTCTCTCTCTCTCTCTCTCTTTGTTTCTTCCTCCTCACTACTACACTTACTACAGACAGAAAGGTAGGTACGCGTAGGTATTTGTTGGTTGGTTGTAAATGAAAAGAATGTCTGAACCGTATTTGTGGACTGCAAAACATGTGCTTCCAGCAGAGATCCATCTACGTTGATGAGCGATTGAATGAACGAAGGAAAGAAAGGAAGAGAGAGTGAATGAATGAGTGATGAACGAACAAACGAAAGAACGAACAAATAAGTGTGCGAACGAACGAACGTAACACAAAATTAAAGTGAACGAATAATAAAATTTTCATTTAGAATTGTGGTTAGAGAAATGAATAAATAAATGGCGGATTAAAGGGCTAGCAGGTATAGGTCGTGTGATAATGGTTATATTTGTGGCTTCGGTGGAGTTATGGAAATAACAACGAAGATCATCATTATCGTCATAGTCATCATCATCATCTTCCTCATCATCATCATCATCAAATTTCTTTCTTGTGAATGTGTGCACACGTGTGTGTGTCTTTACATGATCAGCAGAATGATTATGCATGCAAATGAGTTTGCTGCTGTGTTGTTTCAGTATATGATTATTTCATTGTCTACATCATCATCACCATCATCATTACCGTCACGGTCTTAGTCACAGCATCACCATCATCATCATCATCGTTATTATCAAATGAGCAAGCAGCTCAAATGATGATGATGATCAAATCGATAAATTAGTATATAAACAGGTGTATGCTGTAACATAACCGTCTTCGTCAGATATAAATATATATATATATATATATATATGTATATATATATATATATATATATGTGTGTGTGTGTGTGTGTATACGTATATTTAAAATGTACGCGGGATCGTACGAACGACATGCCGGCACACAAGGACCCACTGCACCAGCTTTCACCGTTCAAATGATTATGACGATGATGACGACAGTGATGATGATTCTCATCATTGTTATTTATATTATTATCATTATTATTATTATTCCTTTAATTATTGTTGTTGTTATTATTAATGTATTTATTTAATTATAATTACGATCATAATTAAGACTGCAAATGTAACGCTGTAATAATAAATGCTTACATTTGTGTTTACAGTTGGGGATGAAATTGTGGTCGAACCGAGCCAGGTGTCGATGAATGCGGGCGACAACGTTACTCTAACGTGCACGTACAAAAAATACGTTGAGAAAGAAGATGCTGAAGAAGAGGAAGAAGAGGATGATGAAGAAGATGAAGATGCTTCTGGGAGTCCCTCTCTCACCTGGTTGTACCAGGATAAAACAATCCCAGAAGATAATAAAAGGTGGGTGTGCTGCTGCTGCTGGCGATGATGGTAGTGATGATGATGATGATTATGAAGATGACGCAGTTATAGTTATAAATGTCAGAGAAAGCGTAAAATTAATATTAAGTCAGTCAGTTGTTTTGCTTGGTTGTTTATTTCTTTGTCTAACAGGGATCGTGTTTATTTATTTATTCATTAGTAACTCTTTTAATTATTCATTCATTCGTTCGTTCGTTCACTCACTCGCTCACTCGCTCACGCACTCACTCACTCACTCACTCACTCACTCACTCACTCACTCACTCACTCACTCACTCACTCACTCACTCACTCACTCACTCACTCACTCACTCACTCACTCACTCACTCACTCACTCACTCACTCACTCACTCACTCACTCACTCACTTATTCATTCATTCATTCACTTGTTCATCCACCAATTCATTCATCCATCCCTTCAATCATCTTCAATCATCACTCACTCACTCACTCACTCACTCATTTATTCATTCATTCATTCACTTGTTCATCCACCAATTCATTCATCCATCCCTTCAATCATCTTCAATCATCACTCACTCACTCACTCACTCACTCATTTATTCATTCATTCATTCACTTGTTCATCCACCAATTCATTCATCCATCCCTTCAATCATCTTCAATCTACGTCACCTTGAGAGTGCCGTATTTAAATGTTGTGGTTTTTGTTATGGGGATTGTAATTATTATTATTATTATTGTTATTGTTGTTTTATTTTAGCATCACCTATTTCTAGCACATTTATTAGTGGAAAGTTTCAATATTGAAATAAGGCATATTCAAAACTTTACACAAACATAAATTTATATATTGTATATATGATATATATATATATATATATATATGCAAACATATGTGTATGTGTATAATCTCTAAATAATTTTTCTGCTGTAGGTGCATCTAGTGTATCATATTGAATGTGAATTTATGAATTCATTATGATATATTTGTGTACGTGTTTGTGTATATATGTGTGTGTGTATGTGTGCGTGTGTGTTTCTGTGCGTGTGTGTGTTTGTGGTTTGTAACGGTCAATCTTTGCAGATATGGGGAAATGTTTCGCTCGTTTTTGTGCGTCTTCTGGAGAGAAGGATAGACGGATGGTGAATGAAAAACAAGAGAGAGAAAATGTGAGAAAAGAGAGTGAGAGAAAGATTGAGAAATGAATTTTTGTGAACATGCACACTTAACAATAGGAACAACATTTAGAGTTGGAATTCAAAGAGAGTACTGTATCATCAACATCATCATCGCCATCGTTCCCAATACAACACTTTAAGATACTAAAAATAGTACAAACATACGTAAATACATACAAACATTCATACACACGTTCACTCATACATACATACATACATACATACATACATACATACATACGTACGTACATTCGTACATACTTACATACCTTACATACATACATACATACATACATACATACATACATACATACATACATACATACATACATACATACATACATACATACATACATACATACATACATACATACATACATACATACATACATACATACATACATACATACATACATACATACATACATACATACATACATACATACATACATACATACATACATACATACATACATACATACATACATACATACATACATACATACATACATACATACATACATACATACATACATACATACATACATACATACATACATACATACATACATACATACATACATACATACATACATACATACATACATACATACATACATACATACATACATACATACATACATACATACATACATACATACATACATACATACATACATACATACATACATACATACATACATACATACATACATACATACATACATACATACATACATACATACATACATACATACATACATACATACATACATACATACATACATACATACATACATACATACATACATACATACATACATACATACGTACATACATACATACATACATACATACATACATACATA